TGAGCCGGAAGGCAAAGCTCTCAATTTACCACTCGGTCTACGTTCCTACCCTCACCTATGGTCACGAACTCTGGGTCGTGACCGAAAGGACAAGGTCGCGGCTACAAGCGGCCGAAATGAGTTTCCTCTGTAGGGTGGCCGGGCTCAGCCTTAGAGATAGGGTAAGGAACTCGGTCATCAGGAGGGAGCTTGGAGTAGAGCCGCTACTCCTTCGCGTCGAAAGGAGTCAGCTGAGGTGGTTCGGGCATCTAATTAGGATGCCTCCTGGACGCCTCCCACTGGAGGTTTTCCAGGCACGTCCAACTGGGAAGAGACCCCGGGGAAGACCCAGAACACGCTGGAGAGATTACGCCTCGGGATCCCCCAGAATGAGCTGGAACATGTTGCCGGTGAGAGGGAGGTCTGGGTCGGCCTGCTTGACTTGCTGCCACCGCGACCCGACCCCGGATAAGCGGTGGAAAATGGATGGATGGATGGATAGTGTATTTGTGAAAAATGATTCAATTATAAAATAGCTATAACTTTGTGATTCTGTTTAGGCCAGCAGAGAAGGCTTAGCTGGCCCTGACGACCCACCACTGGTGTAATGTAATGTAATAGTATAAGTAGCCCACTACATAGATGTTTATACTAAGGGGTTAAAGGGTACAATCTCAGGTCGTTCTCCGTTGCTCTCTAAGATAAGATCAAATATGACATCTAGCTACTTACAAATATCAGACCAGGTCCTACACATCGAATGGTTAGTGTAAGAAGAAACAGCAGCAGCTGTGTAGAGATATCCACCACAGACAGGCAGCAGCTGTGCTGGTGGCTCGGTTTACAGAGTGCCTCTGCAAAAGCTGAAAACAGGGTCAGAGGTCATGGCTGAGGATGGAACAGTTGCTGCCCATAATGAAACTTCCGTCTCTCCTGGTCAAAATATAACTACACAGCTGTTTTATGGTACTGCTGAACTTTCACCTTATTGGAAGTCTAAAACAGCCTGTCCTATATCTATGGTATGGATGACGATTAGGCCTTTTAAAAAATCCAAGTATAATTCTATGACATCATTGTTATATCAGAGCAGCAATGCTGCAGCACTGACCTCGAATGAAGAACACGAATGCTTGTTTTAAATGAGTCACTGGGAAACAGCAGACACTGCCAATATTTGCATGCAGCGCAAAATAGGATGATGTAATATTGCACAAGGAAGAGTACAGCAGCCAGCTAGCCTCTTGGCAGAAAGTGGCCTGGGAGACTTGCTGTCCTCTTTTCCAATGATATGCTTTCCTGGGGACTCACCTTGCTACCTCCCCCAGGTATTGGAGGGCGCCTCAAAGGAAGTGTGGGATACGGAAGCGTTTTATCCCCGAAGTAGAGGCAGCAAAGCAACCAAACAAAAATCTGTGAACCTCATCTATGTTTCTGTTGCTATAGTGTCATTATATTTGAAGGCTTCATTATTGTTTCTGTAAGCATAGAGCAACTAACCAAAAAACTCCTCCAAGAAGGAATTGTCTTGTTCAGTTGTCTTTTGGCAAACTCCAGGCTTTTTTGTTTTTCTCTTTCTTAGAATAACCAGAACCATATAATCTCCATTTATTGATTTGCAACAGATGGTGCAAGTTGAAATGTTTGTAACTTGTGTTTGAAGGTCAGCTTGAATCTGTTTTGCAGTTGTCCAAGCTCCTTTCTCCACCATTCCAACAATCCTTTGCTGCTGTCTTTGGTCAACTGTTCTCCGAAGTCATCTTCTTGAAAACATTACGCATGGTGGACACCGGAACAGCAGGTTCTCTGGAGATGGACTTGTAGCCTTGAGATTGATCATGTTTGGCTTCATCCTTCTGTCTGATCTCCTGACAATCCTCTACTTTTTTCACTTCTCCATGCTCTGCGTGGTACATGCAGTGACACAAGACAGCAGAACAATCTAAACTGATTATTAGATTCCACAAGTAAGTTCAAGGTGTATCCCCTGCTTGAAACATCTAAAAATAGTGCCTACAATATTGTTCGGGCCATTTTTGGATTTCTGTGTGGAATAAGCTACTCCGTGTTCTTTTCAGCTTTTTGTGTAAACTAAAAAGAAGCATATACCAAAAGACGTTTTTATTTCACAATTTTCTTGAAGAAATGGTGTTATTTCAAAACAATGAAAATACATTTGGCTTATCAACACCGCCTCACACCATCTCCAGTTACTCAATGAGGGAAAATCCCTGCAGTGTCATGTGCTGTCCCATGACCTGGCCTTTGTACCTCTGGTTATGTACTGGTGGGGCTTCACTCTGAATACCTAATAAAGTCACTCTAAGCAACACTCCACTTTAATTATATCGCTTAGTAACACACACTCACCAGGTTGTACAGTATTGAAAAAATATTTAATGCTTTAGAGAGCAGGCAGAACAAATAAATATGACTTACATATAAAACATGTTAAGGCAGAGGGCAGGTATGCAACTATGTCCCTGGTACAATAGTCATCAGTAGCTCACATCTGACGGTGTAACTCTTACTTTCATAGCTTGATCATGAATTCACTCATACACAACATCTCACGTCTCTATTGTACCTCTACATTAGGTTTATGCCACAACAGTACACATCATTCAAAATCTAACTCAAATACAGCATTTGAATTATGAAAATAAAAACATTCAGTAAAAAAAACTCACAATTCATTGAAAGAAGGATCTTTGTCTTATTGGTTGTTTTTCAGTGAGATCTGTCCATAAGGAATGTTAAAAAGGTGACTGGGTCAACCCCAAACCTGTATGAGCGCAGATGTATCTCATCAGCTGGGAGTGCTGCAGAGGATGAAGCTACTGATCATGGAGGTCAAAGAGACGCAGTGTTTCACATTTTGGTTCGGTGAGACAGTACACTTCCATTTTCTATTCACTCAAATGTTAAATTTATAAACTCTTCAAAAAATACCACGAGGTACACTTCTTACTCTATGCTATGCTCTGTATTGTAAGTAACAGCTTTTTTTAAGCAATGCATAGAATATCAATAATTCCATAGTGTTCTTTCTGTCCCTAAAAACAGATTTTAAAATTTTATTCAGAGACTGTTCCGTCTTCAGGCTCTGGAGGTGCATCGAGCATCTTGAACATATCATCGATTACCTGCCACAGACAGCTCTCCAGAGGAAAGTCATTGTCCACCAGGTTGACCAGGAAGTAGTTGTCGTGGATGTACTTGATGATCATGCGTGAAGGAGACTCATCTTCGTACAGCTTGGCCCACTGCTCGATCCACAAGGCGAAGGCCTCGTCCTGAGGGAAACATGGGGACAGGTTTGACGAAGGGGACATCTGGTAGGCCGGTCAGAGGACATCGACTAGACCTAAAACTACTGGTGTCAAACACAACGTGCTTCTGATAACATTTTGTTAGGGCCAGTATTTTCATCAGTGTGAGCAGGGAACTCAACCTGACCAGAATATCTCAAACCCCCCCCTCCCCCCCATCAGTGCTGATAGCTCAGAGGAGTCCTAAACTGAGTTAAACTACATGACATTTTATTAGGGCCCGAGCAACCGACAACGTCGGGCCAGCGAAGGCCCTATTGAAATGCTAATGCGCATAGTACATCGGGCGCTGTTGAAGAAAATCATCATGTAATTTAGGATTGAACTGAACACATTTAGTTCATAAAAACATTCTTCGGAAGAGATTAAGGCACGCCAGACAAATTGTAATCTATCACTCCAATGTGTGTCCAAACATTTCCCGTACACGAATCGTGTGTTCTGCCAAAAGGTTATCTTGATCCAAACAAAGTCACGAGAGCATGACATAGTGAAGAGCCCAGAGGTGCTCTGTTTGTGGTTCAACCCACTGGTTAATGGGGTGAATAAATGGGGGTGAATTTTGACTATAAAAGTAATCTGTGAAAAGTAATACATCGGATTTGTTTGGATTTGCTGAACTCCTATGTTGGTGTGTGCTTATTTAAACACTTCCCGTTGGGTTGCAACTTCAGTTCGCCGTCTCTTCTCGTCATTTTGCCACAACAGCGCATATTTGGGGGACTTGCCATACTCAAACTCACCAAATTTTGCACATTTGTTAGGTCTGGTGAATATAGGCATCGGATATATGTTGCATATTTGTGTGTAAAAAAATGGCTCTCTAGCGCCCCCTACCAGTTGGACCGGCGACGCCCTCGGCCAGTATGTCCGATTTACTTAAAATTGGACACATGTCCAAATCCGCTAGATCGACAAAAAAGCCTCTCAGACCCCTAAGCTCCGCCTTCATAGATTTTCTGCCATTTTGAATTTTGTGAAAAACACATTTTTGCGAACTCACCCTACACGCTTGGTCCGATTGCTACCAAATTTGCTGTAGATCATCTAGGCCATCTAATGTTATCAAAAACCTTTTGATATCTTTTTGCGTTTACAAGATATTGACCAATAAACTTATTCGGGTCGTGGCTTACATATCAATACACATAACTTCTCAACATTTGTCCTAAAATCACCAAATTTACAGCATATATGCACATCGCATCCAGTAATATACCCTGACATTTTCATTCCATTCAAGAAAAATTATTCAATTATAAAATAGCTATAACTTTGTGATTCTGTTTAGGCCAGCAGAGAAGGCCTTGCTGGCCCGCCACTGCGTTTTTATGAATATGAATGGCTCGTGCTCTAGCGCTGCAGTGTTGCTGGATTGATTTGTTACTTTGTTGTCATATAAATATATGTGACTGGTTCTTGTGAGTTTGTTCTTTACATTGTGTTAATTACATTGATTTGGACTATATGCATTATCCGTTAATTACGAAGCATCCCGTCATGCGCGGGGTTAGGGTCCGGACAATTGAATCCGTTCGGGCTGTTTTCTTTTTACAAAGCATGAATGATGGTCTGGAGAAATGGGGATTATGTGGCGATTGCTTTAGCCCTGTCTGAATCAGTAGGAACAGCTAAACGCTGCGGGGAGAGTTCGTAGATGGTGTGCCGCTGTTGCTTCCCCGCTAAGCTAGGTTAGCTTAGCCTCCCTGAAGTGCGGGGCCTCAACTGTTTTTTGTTATTGTTCCGGGTTCAAAAGGTCACAGCCCGTTGTCTGTTACGTGAGCGCAGTCCACCAAAACAATATATTTCCCACAATTTAAGCTTCTGCATTTTCCAAATGCACTAGTATTATTCAAACGTATTGTTCGGTTCATAAGCCTCGTACCGAACGGTTTAATACGAATACGTGTAGTTACACCCCTAGAAAGCAATAACCGTAGCTTGCACGTCATAATGAGATTATTAGGAGATGGCTCAAGTGTAGTAGGACAGCTCAGAAGGCCCAGGTATAAAATGCACAGCCCGCCACTGATGTGTTGGTACTGGTTTCTCTGGGTTGTGAAGTAGAGAACTCCCCCTGGGCTTACTTCAGGCACGCTCGCACCGAGCCAAGGATGTAGTCAAAATGCCTTTATTAGCTCAGGGCAGGGGTGGCAAACGTTTCAGGTTGTGGCCCATATATACTGAAAAACATAAGGAGTCACTGGCCAAACAATAGTGAATGTAGTTTTCAGCCAGTTTCACTGCAAGAAAATCTGTGTTTGTCGACCAGAAAACCCCATGTGACAGAAAATTCATTTTCCATCAACATATTTTCGCAGCACCACTAAATTGTTTGACATTACAGTTTATTGGTGTGCCCACGTATTACAAAAAGTATATCTGGATCTGCTGCTTTTCCATGGTCTAAGTTCCTACATTAAATACTAGATGTTATGTGTAGATCTGTAATTCAGTAAAGTTAAAACAGCCAGAAATCGCCAAATATTGCATTCTGTTCATGGTCTTAAAAGATTATGACACAAATGTAACTGTAAGATGTAAATCTGTCTAGTATTAGGATATGACAAACATAAATGGTAAGAAATTGGTTTCTGTGCCAGACATTGTTTCACTAAATTTAGTCGACATGCAGTGTTTTAACTAGGATGTGCAATGTGCGGTGCTCAGGCCATATTCTAGTTTATTTAAAAAAAAAAAAAAAAAAGATCTGCGTAATTTGGTCCTCCAGGTTTAGGGCGTATCAGAGAGACGCTCTGAGGAAGACCCAGTGTGGGTCGAAGCTGGTTGCCGTTCTCCTGCAGTACATTTTAACTAGATAAACTAACAGACTAAATTATAAGTGAACTAATAACTTAACTAATAAGGCATTTAAACTACATTCGTGGCTCGTTGTGAGTTTGCCTGAAGATGTTCATAATCTACAACTATTCCTTTAAGTCAGTGTGGTTCCACTCATTACAAAAAAGGCACACCTTCATCATTAGGATGGACACATAACATTAGAGTGATGATGGTACTTCCATCAACAGTAGAGAAAACAACCACCTTTTTTCCCTGCAAAAGCTGCAGAACATTCCTGAATCCCTGTACGTCAGCAGGACAATCACCGTCTTACCTTCCAATACATGAAGCTGTCTGGGTCCACTACAGTAGGCTGAACTATCTCCCTGCCAGGGAAGATCCCCCACGTCACCGCGTTGGGCTGCATGTCCGGGGCATTGGTCAGATTTCGGCCCTGCACAACAAACATTCATTGGGACATATCAATAACAGAAACTCTCTCTCTCTCTCTCTCTCTCACACACACACACACACACACACACACACACACACACACACACACACACACACAGATAATGCTTTCTGGTCACACTTACGTGCACATTAACGATGTGGTAGTTGACACGGGGCTCATACTTCTTTAGTACTTTGAGGAGAGCGGTCACATTTTCACTGGAGGTGAAGAACTCCAGATAGGCCTGTTGGATTTCAAACAAGACAGCATATCAACATAGATATGCCCCCCCCCCCATCCAGAAGGAACAAACAACAGCGAAAGTGCTCCTACCTTCTGGAAGACGTAGCCTCCTGCAGGCCCCCAGCCTGCGATGGGGTCTGCGGAGGGTTTGCCGTTGATGTTGGGCTGCGAGTTGATGGTGAGGACTCCTCGTCTGTTCACCTTCTCCAGCTCGTCCTTTAGCAGGTTGGTCTCTGGGGCCAAAGGCTCATCATTCCATGGCAAACACATCACCTAGCAGCATTGCAAACCTTAGCCTGTGATCAACATGGTGTCCTGTCTCATTTAAAGACAGCTGATGCTACACAACTATGGGACGACATTTTGGGAAACACTGCTCTCTTTCGGAGAGTCAGATGTTCAGCAGCACATCAGTCTCATGTGTAGAGAACTGGGGTCAGGACATGGTTAGCCTAGCTCAGCATCAAGACTGGAAGCAGAGGGAAACAGCTAGCCTTTGTCTGTCCAAAGTTGAAAAAAAACACCTACCAACACATTTAAAGCTCTTTGATTAACATGTTGTATCTGTGTGTTTCATCTGTAAACAGACAGAAATGTAATAGGAGGGAGTTACATGCCAAAACTATTTCTCAATGAACAGCAGTCGGTGCAGAGACTGCTGTATCCGGCAACCTGGGCTGTAGCTGGAGACACTGAACACAAGTAGTAGGTGGAGGGATAAGTTGCTGTTCATCAAGGAATAGTTCCAGCATGCAACTTCCCCTAAAATCCGAAATTGTTGTTTCAGAGGTGTTGGGTGTATTTTTATAATGCGTTTTTGTTAAACCTTAGTGCTGCGTTCGACACCATTGACCATCACATCCTGTTACAGAGACTAGAACATTTGATTGGCATTAAGGAACCGCTCTTAGCTGGTTTAAGTCCTATTCATCAGATCGATCTCAGTTTGTAAAAGATGAAGCCTCGATGAACACCAAAGTTAGTCATGGAGTTCCACAAGGTTCTGTGCTTGGACCAATCTTATTCACCTTATATATCCTTCCTTTAGGCAATATTATCAGAAAACACTATAAACTTTCATTGTTATGTAGATGATACTCAATTATATATATCAAACCAGATGAAACCAACCAGCTCACTAAACTTCAAACCTGGATGACCTGCAACTTCCTGATATGAAGACAAAATTGAAGTTATTCGATTAGGCCCAGAACACCTCCGAAATAAATTATCTAATAATATAGTTTCTCTAGAAGGCATTGCTCTGGCATCCAGCAGTGCCGTAAAGAATCTTGGAGTTATCTTTGATCAGGATTTGTCTTTTAACTCCCAGATAAAACAAATTTCTAGGACTGCCTTTTTTCACCTACGTAATATTTCAAAAATCAGGCACATCCTGTCTCAAAGCGATCAGAAAAATTATTTTATGCATTTGTTACTTCTAGACTAGATTACTACAATTCATTCTTATCAGGGGCTATAGCTGGGGCTGGCTCGGGTTTACAGCTGGGGCTGGCTCAGGTTTACAGCTGGGGCTGGCTCAGGTTTGCCTTGGACCAGCCCCTAGATAAGCTGCTTTAGGTCTAGACTGTCGGGGGACTTCATAGGATACACTGAGCTCCTCTCTCCTTCTGTATGAATTCATGTTCCATTAATGCTCATTCGCTTCTTCCTCAGATTCTTTGTGCTTTCGCTCCTCGCAGGTTTCCATGGATCGTGGTCTTATCTGGACCACGGTCTTGCCTCCTGCCATGGCCCAGCTGACACCCACTGCTAATATCACTATTAGTAGTAGTCACATTACTGTTACCAATACCATTACTGTTTTTATTATCAATATTATTGTACTATATCCACCACTGCTGTTATTATTAATCGTAATGTTTCCATCATTATTATACTTACTACTCTCTTTATATGAATAATTCATGTCATAAGCATTGAATGTGTTGTAACTCTGTTATGTTGTTCATTCTGTACACATGACATCTAACACACTTCTGTCCATCCTGATAGAGGATCCTCCTCTGTTGCTCTCTCTAAGGTTTCTTCCTCTTTTCTCCCCGTTAAAGGATTTTTTGGGGAGTTTTTCTGATTCTGATGTGAGGGTCCTGGGACAGAGGACGTCGTATGTGTACAGATTGTAAAGCCCTCTGAGGCAAATTTGTGATTTTGGGCTCTAGAAAATGAATTGAATTGAAAGTTTGTTTCTTCACTTTTCTGCTCCTGTTCTCTGGTTACAATCATCAGGGAGGAACTTAAACTGGTGCTGTGGGGCTCTCCAGCTCCTTCAGGGTTATCTGTGGTCTCTTTGTTGCCTCTCTGATAAATGTGAGTATTGGTCCTCTCTTGGCAGCTTTGTCGTGGTGTCATATTCTTTAAATTTTATAATAATAAATTAGATGGTGCTCTGTTCCATCATCTGACAACAAAGGGGTGAGTAAATATGCATGCTCCACTTTTTAAATGTTTTGAAATTTTTAAAACAAGATTTTTCTTATTTATTTACTTTTCACACCAAGTGTGACTACTTTGTGAAGGTCGATTATATAAAATACAAAAAAATCTATTTTAATTCTAAGTTGCAACAAATTGGAAAATGTTCACTAAGATGAATGTTTTGATATAATTTAAAGTTGAATCTGCTTAACCAATCGTAGCACTGATTGTGGTTTTGCATCTCTACTGCTTTAAAAGCACACTGTTTAACATAACTTTATCCAGGATTAGCTTATCAAACTGTGTTCCTAGAGCCAAATGAGTTGGATGAGAATTAACAGGATATTAATGTCTCAATCTCTATCATCATACCACCCAACAACATCTGTATGTTTTCCTTGTCTTTCAGGTCTCACTAAAATCCACATTCAGACTAACTTAGACTAAGTAACAAGGACACAGCAGAACAACAGATGTCATCAATGCTCCCTCTGAGGAATGTTAGAAGTCATGGGCAGAGCAAGCTGTTCTACCTTGTGTCCGTTGCTGTTTGGTTGGGCCGTGATGTAGCAGGTAAAGACCTCATAGACGCTCTCTTCATTCATCAGCTCATCGCCCCACATCTGCAGCAGAGCATCTTTGGATGACTTGCTCTTTAAGTAGAACAGGTAGTAGTCATTTAACTCGCCAAAGGCTGGAGACGAGGAATTTCCCCTGAAGACATCAACGACAGGACACCTTTTAGTCGTTTGACAGTAGGCTTCATCATTCTTCACTAGCACATAAACCACATTAACAAGGAGATAGAATCTTTTGAGTTCATGTGTATTGTACCATCTGCCGTTGGGGAACTCGTCCCAGTCCTGGGTCCTGTAGATGTAGCTCTTGGGCCTGGATGCCCAGAAGATGGGTCGGACATCTTCTACCTTCCGTTTGGGATGAGCACTCACTGCCCAGGGAAGAGGCCGCCTGGCAGAGAACACAAGCTCTGAAACACTGGACCACTTTGAATCAAGGCAAACAAGGAGCTGCTCAGGCTCTTTGAGATATCTGGCTTCACTCATCCTAACACTGTTGATCCTGGATGACTTTCCAATCGAACTATGAGAGAGGCGGGGTTCAGGATACAGAGAGCAGCACGTCTGATGGAATATGATGAAATTATTGATTTCAAGTTAATTTACTGTTATTATATTGTTAAACTGGTGCCCAATATGACCAGTGATGTGATCGAAAAGGGTTAAAAAGTCATCTGGACTTTAACGTTAATACTGTAGGTGAACATAGGCTACTATGAAAAGGCATTAATTATCTAGCTGCTGTAGGTCTCATGTTTTATAACCAGAGTGGAACACTGATAGAACCGTAAACATTGACAGCATCTCCAGTGCAACAGATCACCATGCAAAGTCTTTCTACTGGTTTGTCATGACATCACTCTGCTCTGTTGTACTTGTAGTATTTTGTCGATACTAGGACCCTGCAGGAAATATGACTTTTTCTAGTTTTCACCGATAGGAAGTGATTCTTGGCATTTCCTTTCTTAAAACTCCCCGACTACCTCGGACTGTAGCTCAAAGCACCAGTGTGCTGTAAGCAGGCGGAGGGATGACTGACCTGGGGTCCTCTATCCAAAGGCCCAGCTGTCGGAGAACCTCCATGATGGCGACCTCTCGATTCAGCGTGTAGAAGTGGAGGCCTGGTACCTTGCCGCTGTCCAGCAGCACGCGGCACATCTCCACCGCCTGCTGGACTCCGTAGTTACGGATAGCAGCGTCGTTATCTTTGATGGGCTCGATGACTCTGGTGATCTCCTCTGGTATCTCCAGTTTCGACAACTTGACGAGCTGACGCAGAGACTGGTAACCCTGGAGAGGAACAGAGCGAGGACCATTTGGGGTTCCAGCGAGAAAGTTTAGCGAAGAAAGTGTCGTAGAATGCACTTTTCAGAAACGAATATAATGAATGTTACACACATTATATACCCAGTTAAAGAAGAGATTCTGGGTAACAATATCCTGCAAGCCTTTTTACACACTCCAAACACAATTCTACACAACTAATATAATCAACTAGAAGATGTACCACAATATCACGTATTTTTCGCCATGACTCGGCGAGCTACGCACTCCGGACAAAGCTACAAACAAAGGTAAAGGCTAACACGGACAACCAATACATCAGAAAGCACGAGAATTCGACAGATTCCAGAGATATCGTCAGAATTTCTCTCCGTGAAACCATTACAGAGCTATGAGCAAACAAGCACCAGAACCACAAACCGCTTTATCAATAATAATCATAAATGCTTCTCACCGTGAGCTGATTTCGTGAAGAGAACGGATAAATTCCCGGTTATTTCCATTCAAATATGTGTTTGACGTATATCCTGTTTGTCATTGAACTGTTTCCTTGAAGAAAGTGGGGTCAATCTAACTTAGGGGAGCTGGGGGAAAGGATTTGACTCTCGGCGTATCGGATTTTACGCTTCGCGAGGGACGGCGCGGTTTGGATTCTGACTGTCAATCAATACCACGTTGTCCCGGCTCAATTCTATAGACTCTGACGCGTCGAAGGAGGGTTCATTCACTGAAATCGACCAATGGGCTGCTGAGCTAGGTCCCCATAGACACAGAGAAACTGCAGTCAGACGAGACAGCTCCATGGATCACAGACACAAAATGAGCCCAGAGAGGATTCTGGCTCTCAAAATGAAGCCAAACTGCTGTATTTGGATAGATTCAACACTATTAGTGATAAAACAAGTGAAATATATAGTTATATAGTATAGAAAATTACAATGGAACAGCTGGTTCCAAAATGACAATTTCATGACCTTGCCTGACCTCTCTGTACTAAAACCTCTCTAATTTTGTTCTACTTCACTTTATCAAAGCTGAGAGACTGTTCACATGTTGTGCTGTGATTTGGGAGAGTTTTAAACTTTTGTTAGCTTCATTCAAAAGAGATATTCATGCTTTCAGTGCTTTTATTTTCTGGCGAACCTGAAACTTTTCAATTTGAGCTGTGTGCCATCTTCATTTACTCTTAACCAGTAACATATACACTGATATTTACACATCTGAACAAATCTCACAAGTGTTACCTTTATTATAATATCAAAATTATTCAAATAGACCTTGTAGTTGCAGAAATACACTCTTTTTAGTATATGGGTATGCAATTTTCAAGCAGAGGCCTAAAAATAGGGCTAGGGTTAGAAAGGTTGAAGTCCAGCTTTATGCCAGTGGATGGTCTGTTTGAAATTATTTAATAATGGAGAGCAACAACGCTTTTCTTTAAGGGTACACATAGAGAGGTTGGCTGGAGGTAAGAATTTGGCCTCACTGCATCTTCAATCTATGGAGTCTTTCAGACTTTTTTTGAGGTTTGTGGTGAGCACTTTTTTAGTTGTTTACTTCATTGTAATAAATATATTTAATGAACTGTCATCCACTGTGTCCATTCCCGTACATATCATGACCTAGGAGCCGGGTTATGACAAGTTGGGGGTTAGGCAGATGCCATGGCACTGTCCTCTGGGGTAAAACCTTCAGGTTGCACACAGGAAATGATGTCGGGCTACCCAGATATCAGAGTTTTTGAGATAAGCTCATATAAAGCCAGCAAATTCATCAGTTGACAACTACTCTGAATCAATCCCTGGGAAGTTTAATAACAAGTAGAAAGGCAAAGTAGAGGACAACTAAACAAAGTCCTACAGCAGCAGCACAGGGAACTCTTTGAAATGAGGCTAGTGGCAACACTTTATCAATGTTCCCCTGCTTTCTCTCAAACATAGCCCTATTCAGCCTGTCCTCAATCACAACACTTTTACATGATAAGCTGCCGTAATGAATCTCCCTATTGTTATTTACCCGACTGTTAACGTATAAGCAACTGTACAATCTTCTAGATTTAGTCTGCAAATGTTCCTCTATCATTCTTCATATTTTACCTAATTACTGAAGCTGAGCAACACATTTGATCCTCACAGTATATTAATGTGTGTGTGAGACAGAGAACTAAAAGGAAATTTGAGTTATGAGAAAAATGTTGAACAATCCTTGATCTTTAATTGGCCAAACTCTGCTTGCACAAACAAAGGGAGTGATGACCAAAACAACAAAGAGAAGACGGAGTCATGCTAAACAGGATGGACATGCTTTTCTCAGTAGGACTCTTCTCAGTATTCTCAGTATTGTTTATGTTCAGCAGCAATGAGAACAGTATTGGTGTTTCTGGAAGCAGCAGTGACTCACCTGAATGGGGAAGATTCCAGGTAGGATGGGACAGGTGATACCAATCGCCCTGCAGTCATCCAGGAACTTGAGGAAAGTGTCTGCCCTGAAGAACAGCTGGGAGATGATGAAGTCTGCTCCGGCGTCCACCTTCTCCTTCAGGTGTCGGAGATCCTCCTCATAGCTCTCTGCCTCTGGGTGGCCTGTGGGGTAGCCTGGACATACAGACAGATCGAAATCTCTGACTGACGCTTCAAATGGAGTTCCACTTAAACTACCCTCCACTGATCTGGAGGCTGAGAACATACCAGCAACACAGATGTCAAAGTAGTCTTCGAACTCTGATCGGATATGTTTAACAAGGTCGGTGGCGTAGTTGAAGCCTTCCTCCTCTTCCTCCCAGCCTGCTCCCACTGGGTCTGTGGAGAGGTCAGAATACCACATGTTAGGAGGATCTCCAAGGCTATTCTCTAACGAATCAGCAGGACAGGGAAATATAAAGCCTAATCTATGTAAAGTACTTTGTTTAGTTATGCCAGCTGTCAAAAGCGGCCCATTGACCTCTGCTAAAACACTGGAAGCACAACGCAAAGTAAAATTTAAAAGTGCACTAAAGAAATGAAGCAGTAGCCTGCCTTCTACAGTAGGGGTGGGAATCACCAGAGATCCCGCGATACGATATTATCACGATACTGCGATATTCTGAGTATTGCGATATCATAGGCCTATATTGCGATTTATTACTTTTTTCAACTTCAAATTATGTCCCCAAAGGAAAACTGTGTCAACATGTTTTATCTAATAAGATAAAGTTTTCAGTCTGTTCATCTCACTTCAAATCATTTTTATTGCAGCAAAATAGGATTGTCAAGCAGACAGACTGACCAACAATGTCATAAATGTTGCATGAACCCGACAAACTGAATGTATTACTACATAGTCCAACTTAACTAAATGCAAACATGTGGACTCAGTATATGAACTATAACTTATATAAGTAGGATATAAGAGTTATATAACTCAGTATAACTTGTGATGCGTGGATGTCGAGGGCAGAGAGCCAGTTATGCGCTGCACTCTCCCCATGAGCCTGGCTACTGTTGGCAGATTTAACCCCGTTGTGAGGCCAGATGTCTCCATCTTTGTTTTGACCAACTTCCTACCAATCACGCTGACCCGGGACCTTTCCTGACCTCACCAGAAAACAACTCAGCACCATCTAGTGGACTGAAAAAAAAGCAATTGATTTGATTTTTCTAGAAAATGTTTTTTTTTTTAATAGTTTATATAATAAAAGATCAATAATTGGCGTCCGTGTATCGATACAATATCACCACGCAAAATATCGCGATACTATGCTGTATCGATTTTTTCCCCCACCCCTATTCTACAGTACGTTTCTACACCACACTCTTCAGGCAAAGCTACCGTTCCTCTCCTCTTCACTGAGAAGGGCTGGCAGAAGCAAGTGAGCTACTCTGTTGTGAACGGAAACCGGAAGAAACAATGGAGCAAACAACTCCCTGTTCATAGCACAACCCCTCCTGAAAATCAGAATGTAAACACACGCCATCTCTCCTACCTCCCCTTAGTGCCATGATGTTCTTGAGGCCCAGGTGCTTAGCTTTGGCCAGGTAGCCAGTGATCTTCTCTTTGGTCTGGTTGCAGCAGGTCAAGTGGAGGATGCTCTCCAGGCCACAATAATTGACTGCTGTGCTGGCAATCATCATAGAGGAGGTTTCCTTGTCTGAGCCCGGGTCCCCTGCTGGATGCCAGGTGATGTCAATGAACAGGGGCCCCCCGGTGCCCATACGGTCGAATCTGAAGAAAAATGACAAAACAATTGTTCAGATGTCTTTTTTCTTAAGTGGTAAGTGACAATGTGATGTTGCTGAACAATGAGAGTGATGATTGTAATTGTTTGTTTTGTGTGTTGTAACGGTTTGCGTGTATGTTGGTTGAAACAGTGTATTGCGGCTCTCTTGGGGAAAAATCATTTTTAAATCTCAACGGGACCCACCTGGTTATATAAAGGTTTATTTAAAAATATATATAACAATGGGCTACTGTAACATACAAGCTAACTAGCTATCTAAAAATGTTGCTGCAAGGATTACAAAAATCCTCTTGGAGCTACTGGTCTACCAGTGTTGAACTAGACTACCAGAGTATGTGGAGTTTGTGCCAATACCATGTTATTCATTAAAAGCCTGACAACTTTTCACCAAATCCTTTAACCATGTCCTTGGGTTCAGCTTTTTTATGAGCTTTGCTGGTTCTAACACAATCATGTTTCCTATTGAAACATTTTCCATTTAAGTCAGGGCTCAACAATGAGGACTGTCCAGTTGACCGGGGCAACAAAAATGCCATGTCGGGCTACTACATCTAGCAACTTACTTGCCTCATGGAGTTTAGTTCCGTTTAATTCTTTTTTTTTTACCACTTCAGGTTACTTAAATAGATCAAACGTGACAAGTAACTTTGGAAACTGCTGATAGACACAACGAAAAATCACTCATAGTCCATTTCTAACACAAACACATGACAAACTAAAACAGTAGGACATTCCTGTAGTGCATTTTTTAAATTTGCATTATAAGTAATGTCAATTTGAGCAAGTAGATTTTGCAAGTGATAAAAAAAGCATGAACGTTGAACTGTGCAGGTAAAGGTTGATTTCACATGCCTTGAGATGAGGTTGACAGCTCCACTGGCTGTGCGGGGAGGAAAGAACTCCAGCGAGAACCAGCGGTCTCCGGACTCCATCCTCCTCCGCATCTTGTCCCGCAGCCTGTCGGAGCGGTCTGCGTCCAGCACCGGCGTGGAGCACCGGGAGCTCTCCTTGGAGCTCTCCCCGCTGTTGCTGGCCCCGCTGGAGTCGCTCTTGCATGACTGCAAACTCCCGTCCGCTCGCTGAACCTGGTTCACCATGATGGCAAATTATACTGCGAAGAAAATAATACACAAAACAACCCTTTCCGTCAATAAGTTGAGATCGTCAGCTATAACGTTACTTAGACAACATGAGAGCAACCCTTTTTGCTTTGTTTTTTTTTTTTTACATGGGAACGAAAGTAAAACCGACAGCCTATTCAAAATTGTGTCAAATATTATTGACTAGATTTTGTTGACAAAGTACCATCTCATACAACGTGATGAAAAAGTTAAACAATTCACAATAAGTTCGTAATTTGACAGATTAGGGTGCAAATTCAAATTTAAGTTAACTTCTTAACCCCCCCATATCCTACCGTAACGATCACTTCACAACAAGCATTAGCTTGAAACTGGCTGATCTCTGGACAGATATTTGGGGAAACTTTAGGCCCCACAAAGTGCCACCGAGTGCCACGAGCCGCTCTTTTTATACCCATGTCTAACACACATGCGCGCGCACAGACACATTCAAAGTATGGTAGTAAACTTATTTAGAGCCTGCTAGTTCTCTTGGCTGAGCACGGCTAAAGTTAGCTACGTGCCCCACGAGCGATGTTAACCCATTGGGCGAAAGACACACAGAAGTAAGTCAGGCTACGTTGTGCCGCACCGAGCCTGAAGCTAAACCCAGTTACGTTCTGTTTATGCTGGGACGAAAAGGCAAACAGTGCATCTCCCACCTCCACCTGCCGGTTGTCTTGCCGGTGTTGTGTTAAAGTCTGTTCCTCTCACAGAGCGTCTGCCACCCAATACTGAGCATTAGCTGGGTCAGCGTGGGAAACACCAAAAAACCGAGAGCTCCCTCGTACCCGAAGCAGTGATGCCGTGTGGTGGGCGTTGACGACACCGTGCTGCATTTACACCCGCCGTTTCTTCTCCAGCACGGATGAAAGCAGCGCAGTTCTCTCCTCGTGTGGGTTCGTGAAAACGTTGTAAAGACGATTTTTGTATCATTTTTTTAATGAAACTGACCCGGACTCTAAAAATGAAACACTCGATATGACACATGTCTCACTAAATAACATAGGCCTAGAGAAACGTCACGCAGCAGTATGAGCGTCTGAATTTAGTTGAGTTGATTGAAATGAATGCACATTCTTGTCAATGTTGAATCTTAATATTAAAGTTAAAAGTAAACTTTAGTTTTTCATAAGAATAATGGTTTATCGGGTTTCCCCACGGGCAACACATTTAGCATGGAATATTCATTTTTTTAAGGGAATTAAAATACGATATGCACAATTACAAAATCAGCTCGTTAACTAATTAAATGGCTTTCTTTGCAATATCAATGGGGTAATAATTTACCAAATATGCATGCACGCATGTATTTTAAGAGTATGGGATGTGTTTATGATAGAATAAAGGCTTGTGCGAAAATTACACGCAGGTTTGACTCTTTTGAACAATCTTCCGCCTTTGGCGTCACATGAAACGGTAGGATCTCATGATGCATTTAGATGGCATAGGAAATATTAACGTTCAAACCTAGAAATTATATTATCAACAAATATTTAGAATCAAATGTTAGGACACAACGACTTCTTATTTGCTATATAACGTCCTGTCCGATGTACTGCCCGCTAAATGTGTTTTTCCAGGTTCTTCCACCCATTTGATCTTTCAAACTTAGACAAACTTTACGGTTTAACAATACAACCTGAACGCAGCATGACACAACAGAGAAGATGGCGTGTTGTGGAAACTGTTTTTGTTGCCAATGTTGCTGCAGAGAAGGGGAGACACGGACGCCTGAGGAGCTGGTAAAGACATATATTATAATCGGTCAAAACGAGGATCTCTTGATTCTTTTATGATCCGATATTTTCCCTCAGAATTGCTCCTGAGCTCTGCACGGTGCCCTCCTCTGGCTTGCTTGCTCCACCCTGCTGCTCAGAGACTGTTCTGGTGTTGTGTAGCTTTTGCAATCCACATTGACCTTAAGTCCATTCAGGATGTAACTGACACCTATGCTGTAACAGGCATTAGTCCTCCTTACACTGTAACTTTGTCTCATGGGGATACTGTTTTCCTCATGCTAATGGGGAGAAAGCCCTTGGACCAAACTCCATTTATTGTTTAATAAAGCTTCCTTACCCTCCCTAACACCATTTAGTCCTTTTGTGGCTGATCAGAATACCTGCTTCAGTTCGGCATGCATGTTACATGCAACTCTTTAGTATGACAACCCCGTTATACCGATAGTCACCTTCATCCTACTCGGTGGAGTAATGCTTGGGAGATCGGTTATCAATCGGAACCAGTTATCTGTAGACCATATCATGTCTTGAAGCTAAGCGAGTTTACTCTCTTTGCAAAATAATTCAACTTTCAAGTTTATATTTATATTATTACTTCGTAAACTATGTGTTGCTGAATTCCCAAAAGCAATCAGCTAAAGACTCTATTTAGCTGGTTATATTGCCTGTGAACTGTCCCTGCTGGAGCTGTCACTGTACTAGTTATATTATACTTTGAGTATTCCTCTCCTTTCCTCAAGACAATCCTTGGGGAAATCGGAGATGAAGAAGATGAGATTCTACCCAGGAAAGATTATGAGGTGAGAAACTCGTGAAAACCGTTATTCAGAGAAAGATCTCTAGTGTAATGTTGACCGATCCATGCTGCCCAGGTACAAATGAGAGTCAACGGATGTCTGACCCAGGTCATAGTTGCACACTATTTGTTTTGCTTTAACAGAGTTTGGATTATGACCGCTGCATCAGTGAGCCCTATGTGGAGATTGTGGAGGGGATGGACAACAAGGTGAGACAAGTTAAATGTGTGCTTTGTTGACTCATTGCTCAGATGTGGACAACGTTTCAAGAGAGCATGCGGATTGGATTTAAATTGTGTGTCTCCTCAGCGGTCTGATAATATAGTCGTATGTGTTTTTTGGAAGAAGCTACAGAGGCTAGATGTGCTCTGTAACGTGCTGCGGTGTTTCTCTAGACATATGAACTGATTGTTAAACCCAGTGTTCCACAAAAGTTCTTATTGTTCTTAAGTCACATCATTTGGTCTTGCCTAATGTTTGTAAACTGGCTTCGAATATTTGATATGTGTATTGCAATAGTTTCTTTTATTCTTACAGAAAATGTAATAACCAGAATGCTACTCTGAATAATGACCTAAATCACATACAGCTTAAGTTAAATACACTTCCACTCAGTGTTAGAAACCAAACTCATTTAGTTTAGTCAAAAAGACAAAAACCACAAGTGTAAATGTTTATATAGGTGATGGGAAAGATTTCTTGGAGTAGTGAAAACTTAAGTATAGTATATGGAATAATTTATGTATTGAACATATCCATGAACTCCATGTGCTCTCATCATTCACTGTGGAAGCAATCATATGTACACAAACTTCACAGGAAAACTCTTTGAAACTATTCCAATGCCTTCATTGTAATGGCATAGTCATGTAGCCCTAAACAAGGAGGATATTGTTATTCTGTTGCTATTTACTGTCATATTAGTTTCATGTGACAAAAACACACAGAGGTCTTACATAATAGTTTCATTTTTATATTTTACATTTTAATTTGAGATATATAATGCAAATGTTTTTATTAAATTGTTCATCCAACAGAAAGCCAAAAAGTATGAAGCAGTACGGTGGCTGATGATGTTCGCTATCGGAGTCACAGTGGGTCTGGTAGGTGCATTGTGGGTACCTCGGTCTTTCTTTGCTCAGCCCAACCTGTTGCAGATGACCAGCCACTCATGTCTTCATGTCTCTCTCAGGTGGGTCTGTTTGTGGATTTCTTTGTTCGCCTCTTCAGCAAAATCAAGTTTACTGTGGTCGGTGATTGTATCCTTTAACATATTGTGCACATCAGCTGAGGTGATGATAAACAGAAGCTTTCATGAAAATAATGGATACTCAAAAGTTTGTGATGTGCTGAGTGTTAGAGTCGCAGCTAGTCGTGATAAGGTTGTATGAGATGTGTGTATGTATATAT